AAATGTACCATCAACCACTTGGATGGATTGAAAGCGATTGAATCTGCACGCTCGATGCCTCTTAGCCAAGTACGAAATTCAGGACAAATGAAAGCGCTGCCAGCATAGGCGGAATCCACATGGAGCCAGATGTTGAAATCACGACACACTATACCGATCTGTGAAGGAAAGAGTGCATAATTTACGAATAAAGGACTTAAAATTAAAATTTGTGTCACCTCTTCTAAATTGTCAAAAGAACATGAACCTGTAGTTCCCAAGGTGGCGCAAACCTGTAAGAATATATGTTTTAGAAAGTTCTATGAACCGTAAAATTATGAGGTACAAATGCAATATGGAATGTATCGTCGGTATTTTCTACAGATTTTTGTAATCCTCGATTTTCTTATGCTGTATTACTTATATAGTAAACAAAGCGAACGAGTACTGAAGTCGTCTGCGTTTGAAGTCTTATCTTATTATATGAAATATGTATATCAATTCCCTTCTTTATTCAGGCAAATTAATATGGTGACTTTCGAGGCTTCTGATAAGTTTTTCTCTATACTGCCGGAGATGGTTATTTTCAACAGCTAACTGCGTGGGTGGGGAGCACCTAATAACGAACGGACACAGACTTGTTTTTCGTTTTCATTTTCTGAGGCATCCCCAAGACTCATTACTTTTTCGCTGCAAGCTGTAATAACCTTACTTATATTTTTGATTGTAGACGCCACAAGGTCTTTACATTTAGTCACTCTAGAAATCTGGTTAGATTTATAGCCATATTGGTTAGGTTCATTCAGCCATTTGCTGCGAGTATTTTCTTACAATTTGTGACTTACAGCATACAAAATGATTCGGAGGATCCACTAGTATAGTCTATCTTCGATTTGATTAAATTTTTGACATTAGAATGAGTTGTAAAATAAATACAAAAGAAAACAAGAATCGATGAGCAAAAAGTTATTTATTTCTGTCGTCTCAGGGGAGCGATAAGCGAATAAAAAAAAGTTCCATTACGGAGGATATTGAGGGCAATTACAAAGATGACGAATTGGCAAGGAAAATTGCAACCACCCCCATTCTTCCGGCATGAAAGTACTTGGAAGCCTTACCAATGGTCCACTTTAAAAAGTGCTTTATTTTTAGAGGTCACACCGGTGTAATAGGAAAGGAATGCTGAAACACGCCTTTATACTGTGCAACGTGCAAGACTATCCGGCCGTCCTATATGTAGCTGGAAAGGCACATCGTTGCTTTTAGGTTTAACTCTCTGCGACTGATGTGGTAGTGTGACATACACATATTAAAAATGCCTATTTTTCGTCATATGGTTTATTTATTCCACTATTTCAGTAATAAGAATTAAAAATATTTGTAGAATTTTCAGTTGAAAATAGCGAAATTTTAGTCACGTCAGTTGCAGAGGGTTAAACGGAAAATAAATGTCCTTATTTACAAACACTCTTCCCTAATTGGTTTACAAGCCATGAGACTAAAGGTGGCAATCTAGTCTTTTAAGAGTTTGCAGAGATCTCACAGGTGGAAATAAGAGCTTTGGCCTAATTCATAGCGTCAAAGTGGTTTGAACTAAATTAGCTTTAAAATCTCCATTAATTTGCGCTTTGTGTTTGCGAAAAGTTTTTCGAGTTCGAGTCCATATACAAATATCGTAGGTTTTTTAGTTTTTGCTTTCAGTAAGAGATTTATTGGGTGATGAAAACAAGGTCCGTCGTCAGTGCAGATATGCAGTGCATTTCATCAATCTCCTATTTTATGTACACGAAAGTGTTTGATCGGTGCACAAACTCTTTTACAGGATTATTCAAAGGTGACGCAGAAATTTGATATCAATTATTTTTCCTAAACATTCATTGCAGACAATTGATACTACAGGCTTTGGCAAACTTAGTCATGGAGCGATACTCAGTTGAACAACGCGTAAAAGTTATCCAAACGTTTTACAAAAATGGTAATTCGTAATACATTTTCACCTAAACGGATACGTTATCAAGCAAAACTGGCCGTTTTTGGAATACTGAAAACTCGCATGTCATTCAAGAAAAGCCTATGCACTCAGAACGAGTTGTCTTTTGTGTTGGTGTGATTTTAGCCTTGGTAGAGCCATTGGACCGTATTTATTCGAAAATTAAGCCGGTAACTCTGAGCGGTAGTCGTTATCGTGGCCTTAATTAGATATGGACTTGGACAATATGAGGTTTCAACAGGACGGTGTCACTTGCCACACAGCGCATGAAACAATGGCCCTATTGCAAACGAAGTTCCCAGGACGCATTATCTGAAAAAACATCAAGGTCAAATAGCCGCCGAGATCTTGCGATTCGGACTATTGGACTTCTACCTACGGCCTCGTGAAAAATGTGGTCTATGCCAATACGCCCGAAACGTTTCCAGAGCTGAAGAACAAAAACATACGCACTCTGCCAAAATGTTCTGGAAAAATCTAATACGCGCACCCTGTGTTGCCAGAGGACTCGTGGTCGGCGTTTAACGGATGATGTATTTCATAGTCTAAAAAACGTGACGATATAAAAAAAAATCATTTATATAAATTTTGTTGGGTTTTATGTAGAAAATAAAGTCGGTGGTCTTATTGAATTTACTCTGTATTTTCACAAACTTTTGCAGCTGCTGCAAACTTAATATATTTGAAGTTAAAAAAAAGGTAAATAGGCGAATTTTTTTCGCCGAAACGATAATTATCAACCTTCGCTCGGATTTAGTTGTCGAAATAAATATACTACTTTCACAGCCGGTTTCACCAGCAATTTAAATTGAAAATTATTTTTTTATTTTCTGTCAATTTCCATATATAGCATTTTCAGTTTAAATGAAACTTTCTTCAAATTAAATGAAACCTTTTTCAGGTTAAGCGAAACCTTTTTCAAATTAATTGAAACCTTTTTCAGATGAAGCGAAACCTTTTTCAAATTAAATGAACCCTTTTTCGGATTCAATGAAACTTTATTCAAATTAAATGAAACTTTTTTCAGGTTCAATGAAACTTTATTCAAACCCACAGTATACAGTAAACCAGCCATTGACAATATGCTTATTTGAAAATTAATACATGATATATTGTGCATGTATAGGATTATTTTGTCATTAACCCATAGGCAATGACGGGCGCAAAAGTACCCCCAAATGTTTGTTGATATATTTGAAATGTAAATTTTAACAGCGAAATTCGTAAAAAAAAATAATAA